TTGTTTCGTTTCTAGGACACTTTATTCCAGAAAAACATGGGGTATTTTTCTATATTAAATTAAATGAGCTTTCGTGTAAAATAATGAGTTTTATATATAAAAATGTTTAATTATTCGAGCGTACTACCTGCCCTCTTCTATCCGAATGCTCACTCTCTCTACCTGCACGGTATAACAACTCTGATGCTCGTTGTATTCATAAACTAATTAATAATTTGTTTTATCGTTAGAAAATCAAACGTAATTTCTGGTCAAAGTAAACGTACTTGCAGTTTTATTATCTGTACTGTTTAGTATTATGGAGAAAGAGAAATTTGCATATCTGGGTGTATTTCTGGGGTATGTAATGAATGCTGTGAGTGGTGAGGATTTTAAAAGTTGTTTCGTTTCTAGGACACTTTATTCCAGAAAAACATGGGGTATTTTTCTATATTAAATTAAATGAGCTTTCGTGTAAAATAATGAGTTTTATATATAAAAATGTTTAATTATTCGAGCGTACTACCTGCCCTCTTCTATCCGAATGCTCACTCTCTCTACCTGCACGGTATAACAACTCTGATGCTCGTTGTATTCATAAACTAATTAATAATTTGTTTTATCGTTAGAAAATCAAACGTAATTTCTGGTCAAAGTAAACGTACTTGCAGTTTTATTATCTGTACTGTTTAGTATTATGGAGAAAGAGAAATTTGCATATCTGGGTGTATTTCTGGGGTATGTAATGAATGCTGTGAGTGGTGAGGATTTTAAAAGTTGTTTCGTTTCTAGGACACTTTATTCCAGAAAAACATGGGGTATTTTTCTATATTAAATTAAATGAGCTTTCGTGTAAAATAATGAGTTTTATATATAAAAATGTTTAATTATTCGAGCGTACTACCTGCCCTCTTCTATCCGAATGCTCACTCTCTCTACCTGCACGGTATAACAACTCTGATGCTCGTTGTATTCATAAACTAATTAATAATTTGTTTTATCGTTAGAAAATCAAACGTAATTTCTGGTCAAAGTAAACGTACTTGCAGTTTTATTATCTGTACTGTTTAGTATTATGGAGAAAGAGAAATTTGCATATCTGGGTGTATTTCTGGGGTATGTAATGAATGCTGTGAGTGGTGAGGATTTTAAAAGTTGTTTCGTTTCTAGGACACTTTATTCCAGAAAAACATGGGGTATTTTTCTATATTAAATTAAATGAGCTTTCGTGTAAAATAATGAGTTTTATATATAAAAATGTTTAATTATTCGAGCGTACTACCTGCCCTCTTCTATCCGAATGCTCACTCTCTCTACCTGCACGGTATAACAACTCTGATGCTCGTTGTATTCATGAACTAATTAATAATTTGTTTTATCGTTAACAAATAAAACGTAATTTCTTGTCAAATTGAACGTGCTTGCAGATTTATTATCTGTACTGTTTAATGTGATGGAGGAAGCGGTAATTTGCATATTTATTTGTCTATGTTAGGTATGTAATGAATGCCAAAAATGGTGAAAGGTTGTGAATATTCTATCCTTTCTAGGAAACTAGACATTCCAAAAAATTTGGAGTATTTTGTAAATTAAACGAAATGAACATTCGTCTAAAATTAGGAATTTTATTTATTTTAATTAATCGAGCGTACTACCTGTCTTTCGTGCTCCGAATGCTCACTCTTTCTATTTGGATGATATAGTTCGTTGTCTTTGAACAATAAACAATAGTATAATAATATGTAGTTTACGGTGCGGTAGTTTTACGTGAACTTTAATGTTTTCGTGGAAATCGGACAATTTTGTGTCCAATAATTATACGTACCTACGGTTTAAACAGAAATGTAGGGAATCTATCATTAGGGTATCCTTTTTTGTGTANAAATGGAATATTATTAATTTAATGGTACTTAATTATATTTTCTTTTAGGAAATGCGTGGCCAAGATAGTTCAATTGATCGTTAATTCTTCTTAGGAATCCAATGGAATATTTTTTATTTCGAGAGGTAAGTACATGTTATCATTTACATTCATAAGTTTTAAATTTAAATTTAATGGTGTGTGACACTTGTTAGAACTCATGCAAGTAAATACGTTCTGAAAATTAATATTTGATTTTATTTCAGGCATTTTTGAGTTCTTTTCCTGGAATCGTGGAGAATGGTTTCACATGTTCAGAGCTGGGGAAGAAGGAGAGAACCCTCACTGCGACAGGGGTAAGTACTTTTCAATTTTTGACTTTTTTATCTTATCTTTTCTTTTCCTCATTTTTACTTTGCATTTTTCTTTAATTTCACGTTCGTTTAATTTATAGGACCATACTCACACATTTCTTTATTTTTACGTAGTTTTTTTAATCTTTGCTGTTGTTACTTCCGATCAATTTTTCAACGTTAACTTTTAAATAATTATATATGTATAATAGGTATTTTTTTATTTCAGACATTTTGAGTTCCTTACCTGGAATCGTGGAGAATGGTTTCACGTGTTCAAAGCTTGGGAAGAAGGAGAGAACTCCCGCTGCGACAAGGGTAAGTACTTTATTACAGTTTTTGACTTTTTATCTTCTAATCTATCTTTATCTTTTCTTTTTCTAATTTTTAATAATACATAGTAATAATGATTCTTTATAACTAACGTATAGTTTTCCTTTTTGTTACAGTACCACAGTCACCATCAGCAGGAGCTGCTATATCTGGACGTCGATCTTCGTCTTCGTTCGGGAGTGTCGGTCGCGAATTACTCGGGAGTGTTCCCGGAGCGTCCGGATTCGAACTCGGAAGTCTTCAACACCCGGAATCTCGGGATTTCGAGATCCTGGGTCTTGGAAACTTCGGAATTCGAATCTCGGGATCTTCAAAACTAACGATCTCGAAGAAACCTTCGAGATCATTAGTTTTGGAAATCTTGGGATTCGTATTTCGAATTCTCCAGGACTCAAAGATCTCGAAACTTCCGAAATTTTGTGTGTTGGGGGCTTTTTAGTTCGAATCCGGGCATCCGGCCTCCGGGCGTCGTCCCGGACGGTCTTCGAATAANGTATGTAAAATATTATATTCTCAAAAATATTAATTACAAATATACGTTCAAATTTTAAAAGTGGGTTTATGATTTCTTTTCCTTGACCTAAGTAGATGAAAATATTAAAAGAAGTGGTTACAACATTAATTGATCTATCAACCACTATTAGTAATTAAAAATGCCATAAATAATGAAATACTACAGAACTTCAAAATGTCTGTAACAAATATAAATTAGTTTGCTAATAGAAAAATAAAATGAAAGACAAGCACAAGTACAAAAGTGCTATCACAATTTGGAATACTTTTTTAAAGTTTAAAAGTATTAAACAAATAAACGCTAGTAAAGAAGACGTGATATTATAATAAGAAATACATAAAATTATTAAAAAAAAAGAGAAGACTAAGTAACAAATATAAATGGAAGCACTAAAGAAATGTTAAAGTGACTATTGGTCAAATGTAAATTAATATTAAATTTCAAGAGTTGAAAAGTAAACGTTGCTTAACAACTACTTTCTTCAATAAACCCACTTTCGAGTTTATATTTAAATAAAATTAAAACATCCCAATAAAAAGATTAGATGATTTAGACTCAGAAACGATCAATCCATATTCGTATCTCCTACCATTATTTTGCCAACCTTTCTGGAAGCACAAAATCCAATACTGGAACACCTAAAACAATAAAACACAACCATTATGCAATCGTTTCAGCTAAAGTAAAATATTTAACATTGAATCATAAGGCAAATCATTATAGTGGGATCAACACTGATATTTTACTAAACAAATAGCACTTCCTAATAACGAGTATGACATTTCTGCATGCTTAAAACTAAAATAGAAAAATTACGACATCTTCATTGTAACATTTCCAACTTTATCTAGTCTAAAGCACACTCATTTAATTTCCCTCGAAAGGACTACGATAATTTGAATTTAAAAATAGTTCTTACTGTACGCCACCTTCATATAGACAACCCACATTACTCCCAAGTACAAAATACCTTCACTTACCAGAAAATAAAAACAACGTTTCTAAACAAAGGGTGAAAGTACCTCACGACAAATTCCAACTATAAAATCCTTCTCACTGATAGCCCATGACGACATTAATGCATTTTGGTACTTTCAGCTAGTTTAATAAGGGAGAAATTAATTTTTTATAAAATAAAAAAGACGCTTTTAAATAAAGGGTTGAAAGAGTATCCTGACAATTTCCAACTATAATATTCATCTCACTGATAGACCAGGACGACATTAATGCATTTTGGTGCTTTCAGTTAGTTTAAAGCTGGATAAAACAATTCTTCAATTTTAGATTGAAGGAGTAAAAAATCAATCTTACCTTTTCAATGTAGGATGTCCATGAATTGGGAAGAACAATTCTGGAATAACAAAATTTTAGTGTTCACGTCCATACCTCGTCAACCATTCTGGTACTTTCAGCTAGTTTAAAAAAGAGAAATTAATTTATTAGAAAATAAAAAAGACGCTTTTAAATAAAGGGTTGAAAGTGTATCCTGACAATTTCCAACTATAAAATTCTTCTCACTGATAGCCCATAACGACAT